ACATACATATATACATATATATATATATATATATATATATATATATATATATATATATATATATATATATATATATATATATATATGCCTGCAAACAGATTCCCCCGTAAAATCCTCTGTAGTGAACTTGCTGAAGGAAGTCGAAGGGCCGGAGGACCGAAAAAACGATTCAAAGATCATATGAAAACAACTCTCAAAAATATGCCTTCAATCCTTCAAATTTGGACGCCCTCGCCTCCAACAGACGAGGTTGGCAAAACATGTGCCGAACAGGAAGTGAGCGGCTCACCACCGACTTCAATGGGGCTGCAGAACAGCGACGCATCTGCAAGTCCAGGATTGGACGAACTAGCCATCAAAAAGTCCATCAACCATAACAAATAAATCATCCTACCTGCAACCATTTTATCATCTCTAATCATCTGTCACCAATTAAGATACGGAGTGAGGTCATCGTCGTCTGCGACGGACTTCTATAAGTATATATATAATATATATATATTGTTGGTGTGTGTGTGTGTGTGTGTGTGTGTGTGTGTGTGTGTGTGTGTGTGTGTAATATATATATATATATATATATATATATATATATATATATATATATATATATATATATATACGCGTGTGCGTGTGTGTGTGAGTAGATGTAAGTGTACAACATATGTATGCACGTGCAAGCATTTACATTACTAACCACGCGTGTGTTTTAACGGTGCTCAAAATTTGGCGATAACTTAAAATTACTACTATAGTTATAATCATATAGAAGGCAATGGGAGAACGCTATTACTCGCTCCTTATATCACTGTTTTATTGACATCATCATCACCGTTATCATTATTCTAGATAATGACTAACGCTTGAAATATGTCTAAGGAACTGGGATAATATGATCAATATCAACGATACTATCTAATCTTGTACAAAATATCCCTCTCTTCTTATCAGATAGCCAAGTCCTCTGTCCAGAAAATTTGGAAGAAAACCGAATACCTTTTTAATTATCTATGACAATGTTGAGTTGGAGAAGTGTGTGTCGTTATCGTCGTTCTAATAAACATAGAACGTGAGGGTATTGACTGAAGTGGTGTAGCTTCGGCATTCTGTGATTTGATAAGAATTATCTTCATTCTGAAGCATTGACGTCGAACGTAACCTAGAAAGAATAGCGGATTGGCGTTCGTCTAATCGGTCTGGATCAGAAGAATACGTATCGCTTATTGATAACGGAGAGTAAGGAGAAATATTGTTACAAATCGCCGCTATGTATTAATTTCCTCCTCCCCGCCCATGCTCTCCTTGCACGGGATCGCCTTTGCAGTCTGTACAGTCACGGTCAAAAATCTTGTCAAACCCGTTTCGAATTCTGCTTCGAACACCCGCTGAATACAGCACTTGTTGTATAGTGTAAGACAGATTCGAGGCTTCATTTCACGGCATGACTTTTGTCCCTCACTACATGCGTTGATACCTTATAGCTCCATTTTTGGCAATTCATTCAACCCAACTTACAGCGCCAGTTCCAGCACTGACACCTCCCACTCAATATACTTATCCTGATATAGGTAAATTATTGAACAAGTTGGTCCTATACCTACTTAAAGTAGAGGCTTTTTACATGGTTCCTTGCAGAATATACTGTTTTTGTAAAGTAGCTCCTATATATTTCTTTCCTCACACTCAATGCTCTATAGTCATTTTTCACATGCTTTTTACCTAGTTTTTTTTTTTGTTTGTTTGTTTATCATCATTACGATTATTATCATTATCATTTTTATTATCATTGTTATTGCTATCATTACCAATATTACCATACGTATCATCACTACCATTATCACCATCATCGTTATCACCATTGCTATTACCACTATCATCATCCTCATCCTCGTCCCCCTCACCGTAATACATTCATTAATAAGTAACCCACAAAGAACTAGCTGTAGTAAAGACCTTATACATGTTATCAGACTAAACTCGAGTTCACCATATCCTTATCTCAGCTGATAACAGATAAAACCAACAGCCTGTGTGGTGCAACGTAGACACTCGTTAGTTGTCGTGGGTACCGGTGGGTGGCCAGAGCAAGAAAAAGAGTCAGAAAAAAAAGGAAAAACATACAAATACATCGAACATTGTGCGTAAAAGGTGAGCGTGGTTTACTGTCCATTAGATCTCCGGTGGAGCTGCTAACCGGAGCGCTGAGGACTAATGTGATTATGTTAATTAAGCAAAGGATATAGTTATTATTTCGCGATTAGATAAAGTGATTGCAAATCAGATGCTGCTAAAAATGTAAAAAGTAGATAAAAAATAATACCGGTTGCACAAATACCTGGTGTACTACATGCCTTTCCAGAATGATGAGCTTTTTACTGAAGTAAGGCTGCACAAGGCATTGATAGGACAGGATAAGATTATTTGGCTGTGTGATAAGAAATTCCACTCTGCAAGAAAGTGAATCATTGAAAAAATTAATAAAGTGATGGATGCATTTAGTTTAATCTGCGGGTTAATCATAGGTCAATTTTATAGAATATTGTTATATGATAACAGATTTAATTTTCATTTGTTAACCTCTGTCAAAGATAATACAAAGCAGGCTTTATAGATAACATATCGGTGCGTAATGAATGGCAAACGATTAGGTCGCAGATAAGCAGTACATTCAAATTGAATTTTTGATGTCATGTTGCTAGGCCGTCCATCAGACATGCACACAAAGAAAACAGATTTGTAATCATATATTCGTGTGGTAAAAAAAAATGTTTGATCTACTTCCCCCGAACCAAAGGAATGGTGACCGGCGACAACCCGCGCTACCGCCTTCGTGTTTCTTCTGCTCACATATTGTTCTATTATAATATGTATGTGTATGCGTGTGTGTGTGTGAGTGTCTGTGTGCATGTATAGTGTATGATATATGCATGTATCATATATATATATATAATTATATATATATAATATATATATATATATATATATATGTGTGGTGTTGTGGTGGTTGGTGTGTGTGTGTGTGTGTGTGTGTGTGTGGTGTGTGTACATATATTTATGGCATATATACGTATATAGCACATATATGTCTATACACTATTTTGCTTGCGCCCTGTCTGGCGAATGGAACTCAATGGTCACAGAATACTCTACTCGTATGTACAGACACGGTTATGAGATGGAGCTGATCAAACGCCTCCTTCCTTGCCACACATGAATATCAGGACTTCAGAGGACAGACGATAAAAAAAAAAAAAAAAAAAAATATATATATATATATATATATATATATATATATTATATATATATATATATATATATATATAATATATACACGATAGGAGCGGGGAAAGGACCAGGTGACGGAATTCTCGAAAGATCGCGGGGCTCTGTGATTTGTCTGCCTTCATTATTATGTCTATCGAATGTATTTACCGCGTAATTTTTGTCTATAACCATGCCACTGTTTATGACAAAGTCTGTGAGTGTTCCATACCCATAAGGACTTCCTTTAAATTTTCCATACGAAATGCAGATTATCATGATACAATTTTTCAAATGCTGAAATTGAATACGCAACAGTTATATAGGAAAACTTGAGAGCCCCTTTAATTATTAATTATTATCATGATATAATTATTATCATAGGGTCTATCACGCTATGGTTATTTGTTCTAATTAATGTCATTAATTTTATGAAATGACAACAATCTAAGATCAAGTCATAGACAAATTATTCGACAGTCGTGGAACACATCAGGCATTAGAGCTATAAAAGAAAATACGTTTTCTGTACATGCCGGTCCTGAAGTGCCATCTGGAATTGATAAAAATACATTTTCTTATTTCAAATGTAGGCTACATTAAGCTTGCAAGAAAATGGTAGAGAAATCTTCAAACGTATTCTGAAGAACGAATACAATATACTGTATACACAAGTAGGGATCAGTGGTGTGGCTCTGTAAGTAGTGAACTCTGGCCTCACACAACCAGCCAGTCCAACCCAGTCTTCCTCTCGTCCATGGTCGAACAGGAGGATGTACAGGAAAGCAACGAATGGGGCATAACTACATCTTTAGAAAGCCGAAGGGACGTTATTTAGATTAGAGTCCCAATTCCCCTAGCAAAAGTAACAGAAACTTGTGGTGCACAGTGACTAGATCTTGTTTTTAGGGCCAGCTGCCCGTTAACAGGACCGAATGAAGTTGAGACAACAGGTACCTAAGCTTAAATGTCGAAGCAACCAGGATTTCTTTGCCAAAAGATATTGCAACTAGATTAGAAAAGTTCTAGTGCTCTGGAATACAGAGAAGCTCACCAGGCATACAGGGCAGATGTACATACTGCCTGCTAAGTAGAGACTACAATGGACTGACCATCAAGTGAAGATGCAAAACGTGAAACCACGGCAGATGTGATTTAAGTTACTAGAAAGGTCTGGAAGACTTTCTTGACGGTTGACCAGGCTAACTGATTTTCCCGCCTTGTGCTATCAAAAGATAAGGGAGCAGTTAAATGTTCAACTATGCCATTTCACTGTGAAAGTGTCTGGGCACCCTCTGGCATTACCTCTGTTTATGCCTTAAACCTGCCAAAGTAGATGTCACACGACAGTGACCAGTCTATTCCACTGATGAATGGGTCACGTGGCCATATCATAATCATCATTCACCAACAATCAAATATAACACTTGAAGTGCTGACTTACTGCATGTATGTTATTATATTTGAACATTTATTTTCTTTAAACATTTCTTGGTGCAGTTAAAACGTAAATGAAAAAGGCTTACATATTTAAAAATTCTGCTTGGTATAGCCATACCTGGTCCAAGAATTCTATCATTGAACTATAACACTCTTTTGGTTGCTTGTACATGTTTGTGTGTGTGTGGGGGGGGGGGGTGTTGTTGTTGTCTTATCTACATTCTGTTCAAAAAAATTTTCTTTCTTTTTTCCAGTTAAGAATATGACGAAATGTTGGACAGGAATTCTGCTGGTGATGCTCGCCATCCTTATGCAGAGTGGAAGAGCTACTAAACTTGCCAATTCTCCTGGTGTCTCAAGCATTGAATTGGACAGTCGCTCTGAATCTGCGGAGCAATTCGAAGATGGAGCCACTTCTTCAACCTCTAGTTCTGTTTCACCATCTGAGAGTTCGGACAGTAGCTCTAGTTCTGTTACACCATCTGCGACTTCGGACAGTAGCTCTAGTTCTGTTACACCATCTGCGAGTCCGGACAGTAGCTCTAGTTCTGTTACACCATCTGCGAGTTCGGACAGTAGCTCTAGTTCTGTTACACCAACTGAGCCAAATACTTCCAGTGACTCTACAAACCCAGTTAGCTCCACAACAGATACCACAGACAAACCAACACTAACAGGTAAATATTACACTCATCAGTTATATGTCCTATTGTATGCATGGTGCTGTTAATGCCTATATTATATACGTAAGCACGAAAGTATGCATGTGTGTGTTTCAAGGCAGTTAGCCAGTGGTCTGGACAATATCAATTTCTTATTAATCTTATCCTTTCGATATCAATATGCTGGTATTGATGTTAGTGTCTAAAGTAGCCTGTGGACCTCCTTCACTGGCATTTTACAGTTTCAGTTATTATGATCCTTAATGATGATAATCAATGTTGATTTGAATAAGAGTGAGAGACATCACGCCATCAGAGTAAGTCCTGACCACATTGGTCTATATTACTGAACTTTCATTGGAGGGAAATTAGTGACAAAATGATTAACTGTTTATAAACCTCTACATAGGTCCAATAGTTTATTATATTGTCGTAGTATTGTATGCATGAAGGTATTTAATATTGGACAGAGATTCCTCATTTTCCACTTGTAATTTCGTAACCTATTTTGCAATTACAATTATGTCTTTTTCAAGAAACTCCATCCCAAGGTACTGAAAGCTGTAGGAGTAAGGGTTTACATATTTTTCTCCCTTCCATGTTATACCTTGTTATTCCCCTGTTGCACTTAGCACCCTTCTGGCTGCCTGAGTAAAAGACAGCAGTCATCCAAGTAATCCTTGCCAGTTCTTCCATAATGTCACATAAACCAAAATAAACTGAAATGTGAAATGAGGAGGATCTGATCCACACATATGAAGTCCAAGTTTCACTCTTGTGTGTCCTATCTCACGAAAAGAAGAACTGGCAACTCACGAAGGAGAACTTCGGTTCATTTTTTTCTCGTTCCCATGAGCTTGCGCTTGTGTTTACATGTATGTTAACTCCCAAACCCGGACCAAGAGCAGATGAAGAAATATTCGTGATTTTTGCTTATATGATATTACGTTATACTCGTTAATCCAGTGACTCTCAACCTTTATGGAGTCACGGACCCCTTGAAGAATCTAATGAGAACTATGGACCCCCAACTCCTAAAAGTATTCACGTAAGCATAACTTTGCGTGCAATGTGTATAATTCACTTTTGTGGAATTCATGATGAACAGATTGCAACAGAAACAACGAAGGGAAGGGCAAGAAAACACACGAATATGTCAATTCGTGTGTTTTCTTGCCCTTCCCTTCGTTGTTCCTGTTGCATAATTCACTTTATTCATTAAGATTTGATTGTCTCATACACGTACGAGATACACAAACTATTATCAAACCTTAAACAGTCTTAAAAAATTATACTGATACAAATATAATTTTTATCTGATACTCACGGGCTCCCCAAAACCCTCATGGTCGACATGGTTTGCATGGTCATCTCCGACGCGCATAGTTCAAATCACTAATTCGTCGAGGAACACCAAACCTCTCGTGAGTTTGAGGAATCTGATAATGTTAAAGGTCATTTACAAACGTGCCAGGAGGTCTGTTCCATATTATCAAGATTTTAGTGCGATTTTCAAGCTACACTTGCGTTCGTCGACATTCATCCCAATAATACAGTAATGGAACGAAGAAGCGTTTTTTCTGAAGTCAGAGGGGGCTAGGCGCGAATCTTTAATAATAATAAAAAACTATCGCGGTGTCGAAAAATGGGAAGAACAAGTTTTTTTTTCAGGAGAAAGAGAGGGAATGAGAGGGGGAAATAGTGGAGGAAGAGGGTGATAGAGGGAAACGAGGGCGGAGGGAATAGAAAGAGAGAGAGAGATAGAAAGAGAGAGGGAGGGGAGGAAATAATAGGTTAGGGAGAGGATGAGAGAGAAAGAGAGGAGGGGGAGGAGAGAATGAGAGTGAGAGAGTGTGTGTGTGGTGAGTGGTGAGAGAAAATTTACTATTTCATCTCTTTTGTTACAGGAAAAGAACTGTTTATACGTACTGAAGAAGTCCTTGGCGACATTGACCAATCTCTGAACATATTACAAGAGCTTTTCCTAGAATTGAGAGAAAAGCTGCATTCTGGCCCGCTGCACCACATCAGGTCAAAGGTCAACCGGTCATTAGCCGGAAGGACGTCGAGACGAAAACGGATATATGCATTACAGACAGTGGGACTTGCAATACCATTGAAGAGTTGTTGTTAAGGATAAGTAAACAAACCAATGACTTAACAGCTAATCCTGAGGCTTGGGGTGGCAGCCAGTTAAGCCAGCTGGAAATTCAGAGCAACGACCTTACTGAAGCAGTGAAGAACCCAAATAAGGATCATTTCAAAGAGGAAGAAACAAAGACAAGAATAAATGAAGTGAAAGGGTGAGTCAGCATTAGGTTTTGTGAAGCTTTGTTCAAATGAAGTTGAAAAGAGGGGACACTTCCTCCCTCTGCCGCTTGTAGCTTCTTCCGCTGCCTCTCTCTCTCTCTCTCTCTCTCTCTCTCTCTCTCTCTCTCTCTCTCTCTCTCTCTCTCTCTCTCTCTCTCTCCTCTCTCTCTCCTCACTCTCTCTCTCTCTCTCTTTCTCCTATTCTCTCTCTTTCTCTATTTCTCTCTCGCTTTCTCTATTTCTCTCTCGCTTTCTCTATTTCTCTCTTGCTTTCTCTATTTATTTATTTCTCTCTCTCTCTCTTCTCTCTCCTCTCTCTCTCTCTCTCTCTCTCTCTCTCTCTCTCTCCTCTTCTCTCTCTCTCTCTCTCTCTCTCTCTCTCTCGCTCGCTCGCTCGCTCGTTCGCTCTCTATTTCTCTCTATTTCTCTCTCGCTCGCTTCTCTATTTTCTCTCGCGTTCTCTATTTATCTCTCTCTCTCTCTCTCTCTCTCTCTCTCTCTCTCTCTCTCTCTCTCCTCTCTCTCTCTCTCTCTCTCTATTCTCTCTCTTTCTATTTCTCTCGTTTCTCTATTTCTCTCTTCCTTTCTCTCTGCTTTCTCTCGTTTCTCTCTATTTCTCTTCCTGCTTTCTCTATTTTTCTATTTCTCTCTCTCTCTCTCCTCTCCTCTCTCTCTCTCTCTCTCTCTCTCTCTCTCTCTCTCTCTCTCTCTCTCTCTCTCTCTCTCTCTCTGCTCTCCTCTCGCTCCCTTTCTCCCTCTCTCTTATTATTACCCTAAAGTCCTAAAGTCAGCGCCGCCTTTCCAACTCCTTAGGAAGTCAGCGAAGGGCGTCGAGTGGCCAGCGAACAGGTCAAGAGTTTCGAAGCAGCGGAGCGAGACAGTGTCATCTTTACGTCGGTGCTGGGGACTGTGGGCGGCCTCATGGTAGTGGGTCTGTTGGGCGCTGTGATCTTCGCCGTCTTCAAAGGCAAGAAGGTTTCCAAGAAGCCGGGAAAGAAGGGCATAATCAGGTAAGTTTTGTTTGTTTTGTTTTGTTTGGTTCCGTTGGATTCGTCCGTTCGTTTGCTTGATTTTTTTTCGCTTCGTTTTCGTTGGATTCGTTCTTTTGTTTACTTGATTTTTTTTTTGTTTCGTTGAATTCGTTTGTTTACTTGATTTTTTTCTTTCGTTGAATTCGTTCGTTTGTTTACTTGATTTTTTTTTGTTTTGTTTCGTTGAATTCTTTCGTTTGTTTACTTGATTTTTTTTCTTTCGTTGAATTCTTTCGTTTGTTTACTTGATTTTTTTCTTTCGTTGAATTCGTTCGTTTGTTTACTTGATTTTTTCTTCGTTGAATTCGTTGTTTTGTTTACTTGATTTTTTGTTTTGTTTCGTTGAATTCTTTCGTTTGTTTACTTGATTTTTTTGTTTTGTTTCGTTGAATTCGTTCGTTTGTTTACTTGATTTTTTGTTTTGTTTCGTTGAATTCGTTCGTTTGTTTACTTGATTTTTTTGTTTTGTTTCGTTGAATTCGTTCGTTTGTTTACTTGATTTTTTGTTTTGTTTCGTTGAATTCGTTCGTTTGTTTACTTGATTTTTTTTTCTTTCGTTGAATTCGTTCGTTTGTTTACTTGATTTTTTTGTTTGTTTCGTTGAATTCGTTCGTTTGTTTACTTGATTTTTTTTTTCTTTCGTTGAATTCGTTCGTTTGTTTACTTGATTTTTTTCTTTCGTTGAATTCGTTCGTTGTTTACTTGATTTTTTTTTGTTCGTTGAATTCGTTCTTTTGTTTACTTGATTTTTTTTGTTTCGTTGAATTCGTTCGTTTGTTTACTTGATTTTTTTTCTTTCGTTGAATTCGTTCGTTTGTTTACTTGATTTTTTTGTTTTGTTTCGTTGAATTCGTTCGTTTGTTTACTTGATTTTTTCTTTCGTTGAATTCGTTCGTTTGTTTACTTGATTTTTTTGTTTGTTTCGTTGAATTCGTTCGTTTGTTTACTTGATTTTTTTGTTTTCTTTCGTTGAATTCGTTCGTTTGTTTACTTGATTTTTTTCTTTCGTTGAATTCGTTCGTTTGTTTACTTGATTTTTTGTTTTGTTTCGTTGAATTCGTTCGTTTGTTTACTTGATTTTTCTTTCGTTGAATTCGTTCGTTTGTTTACTTGATTTTTTTGTTTCGTTGAATTCTTTCGTTTGTTTACTTGATTTTTTTTCTTTCGTTGAATTCGTTCGTTTGTTTACTTAATTTTTTGTTTTGTTTCGTTGAATTCGTTCGTTTGTTTACTTGATTTTTTTTCTTTCGTTGAATTCGTTCGTTTGTTTACTTGATTTTTTGTTTTGTTTCGTTGAATTCGTTCGTTTGTTTACTTGATTTTTTTCTTTCGTTGAATTCGTTCGTTTGTTTACTTGATTTTTTTTCTTTCGTTGAATTCGTTCGTTTGTTTACTTGATTTTTTTTGTTTTGTTCCGTTGAATTCGTTCGTTTGTTTACTTGATTTTTTTCTTTCGTTGAATTCGTTCGTTTGTTTACTTGATTTTTTTCTTTCGTTGAATTCGTTCGTTTGTTTACTTGATTTTTTTTCTTTCGTTGAATTCGTTCGTTTGTTTACTTGATTTTTTTTTTCTTTCGTTGAATTCGTTCGTTTGTTTACTTGATTTTTTTTTTTGTTTCGTTGAATTCGTTCGTTTGTTTACTTGATTTTTTTTCTTTCGTTGAATTCGTTCGTTTGTTTACTTGATTTTTTTGTTTTGTTTCGTTGAATTCGTTCGTTTGTTACTTGATTTTTTGTTTTGTTTCGTTGAATTCGTTCGTTTGTTTACTTGATTTTTTTGTTTGTTTCGTTGAATTCGTTCGTTTGTTTACTTGATTTTTTTCTTTCGTTGAATTCGTTCGTTTGTTTACTTGATTTTTTTTCTTCGTTGAATTCGTTCGTTTGTTTACTTGATTTTTTGTTTTGTTTCGTTGAATTCGTTCGTTTGTTTACTTGATTTTTTTCTTTCGTTGAATTCGTTCGTTTGTTTACTTGATTTTTTTTCTTTCGTTGAATTCTTTCGTTTGTTTACTTGATTTTTTTCTTTCGTTGAATTCTTTCGTTTGTTTACTTGATTTTTTTCTTTCGTTGAATTCGTTCGTTTGTTACTTGATTTTTGTTTTGTTTCGTTGAATTCTTTCGTTTGTTTACTTGATTTTTTTTCTTTCGTTGAATTCGTTCGTTTGTTTACTTGATTTTTTTTTCTTTCGTTGAATTCGTTCGTTTGTTTACTTGATTTTTTTCTTTCGTTGAATTCGTTCCGTTTGTTTACTTGATTTTTTTTCTTTCGTTGAATTCGTTCGTTTGTTTACTTGATTTTTTGTTTTGTTTCGTTGAATTCGTTCGTTTGTTACTTGATTTTTTTTTCTTTCGTTGAATTCGTTCGTTTGTTTACTTGATTTTTTTCTTTCGTTGAATTCTTTCGTTTGTTTACTTGATTTTTTCTTTCGTTGAATTCTTTCGTTTGTTTACTTGATTTTTTTCTTTCGTTGAATTCGTTCGTTTGTTTACTTGATTTTTTGTTTTGTTTCGTTGAATTCTTTCGTTTGTTTACTTGATTTTTTTTCTTTCGTTGAATTCGTTCGTTTGTTTACTTGATTTTTTTTCTTTCGTTGAATTCGTTCGTTTGTTTACTTGATTTTTTTTTCTTTCGTTGAATTCGTTCGTTTGTTTACTTGATTTTTTTCTTTCGTTGAATTCGTTCGTTTGTTTACTTGATTTTTTGTTTCGTTTCGTTTTGTTGGATCCATTCGATCGTTAAACTTGTTTGTCGTCTGTTTCGTTGTTCGTTGGTTATGTTATGTAGTGTTTGTATTGTTCAAGGAATGTATAACCGGGTAGGTCCAGTTCCATTATGCCTGTTGAACCACAAAATGAAATTTATTTTTTTCCCTAAGAGCATTTCTGACGACGTTAATGGTATGGAACTCTTCATTTGTCGTATGTAAAGGGGGGATTTATCGTTTTACTTCCGGTAACCATAACAATATCGAGTAAATTATCAAATGATTATGTATGATTATCTCCTCCTCCCCCCCCCCTTTTTCTTTCTATCTCTATATATGTATTTCTTTCACGTACAGGTTCCCGAAGAAAGAATCCCAGTCGGCGACTTCATTCGCGCCCACGAAAACCCCCCGCCCACGAGTAGTTCCCCCGAGGCTAGAAAGGACCCTGACGCCCGCGACGAATTATGCCACGCCCTACGCACCAGCTGCCCCTGTGAATCGCGACCCTTACGCCCGTGGGAGGTCACCCGGGGAGGCTCGCTCGCATTACTCTCAGGGCAGGTCAGGGGCTGCCCAGGCGCTACTAGGAAGGGTATAGATGAGTAGTTTTATGAAGAGGGACTTGTATAGGCCTTGGTACTAGGTGGGCGTTGGGGGTATCGCATTCGTGTTCTCTCTGTCTCTCTCTGTCTCCTGTCTCTCTGTCTCTCTGTCCCTCCTGTCTCTCTGTCTCTCTGTCTCTCTGTCTCTCTCTCTCTCTCTTCTCTCTCTCTCTCTCTCTCTCTCTCTCTCTCTCTCTTCTCTCTCTTCTCTTCTCTCTCTCTTCTCTCTCTCTTCTTCTCTCTGTCTCTCTCTCTCTGTCTCTCTCTCTCTGTCTCTCTCTCTCTCTCTCTCTCTCTCTCCTCTCTTCTCTCTCTCTCTCTCTCTCTCTCTCTCTCTCTCTCTTCTCTCTCTCTCTCTCTCTCTCTCTCTTCTTTTCTTTTCGTTTTCTTTGCTTTGATTTTTATTTTCCTCTTCTCATTGTTCTTTTCTTTTTTCTTCTTTTTCTCTTTCTCTTTCTTTTCTTTTTATTTTCGCTTTCTCTTTCTCTT